TAAGGCCAATTCATATTTCAGTGTTCCATGTACAGTATGCTTTCAGTCCGCGCAACGTTGAGTGACATATATTTCTTCATTTGGGGTTTGCACTGGATAGTAGCCTGGATTTTTATGTCTGGCAAAAATCACATATGTAGACGCATGTCAACTGCACATGTGCATGGAAGTTGACTATTGTAGGTGTTTCCAATAAATGGCAGACCAAGTACAGATGGGGACTCGAGGGAAAGGGCTTTGAGTCGTTCTTCAGATATCGAGCTTTTCCAGCCACAGAGAAGCCAGTTTAATTATGATGAAGAAACACAGGGGGCAGTGAGTGGCTCACCAAGCTAAGCATCTGTGTCTGTGATTGGACGGTTCCTGATTCACTCCTGTATTGGCCTTAGCAGGATAGACATTTGTCTGTGGGCCCCTGAGCAAGGTCCTTGACCCCCAGCTCCTGGGTGTGGCACACTGGCTGACCCTGTGCTGTGACTCCCAAGCTTGCTTTTACCTGTGCTGATGAAATCATCATTCTGTCCCCCTTTCCCATGGCTCCATGCAGCTCCAGCAGCCGATTCCCCCAGCCACCATTCCAGGGCCCCTGTCCGACCTGGGGAAACGCAAGCTGATCCGGGAGCAGCTGTTGCTCTTGCTGCATGCCCGCATGTGCCAGCAACACAAGCAGACCAACAGGGAGGAGTGGTTATGCTCCAGGCTCCAGTGCCGCACCATGAGGAAGGTCCTGAAGCACATGGACAGCTGCCAGGCCGGCATGTCCTGCCAGGGTAAGTGCAAGACCGCACTTCGTTTTCACTGGTGTGGATGGATTCAAGTTGGAGGAGGATTAATTTACCTTTGTCTCATGCCATGGCTGTGCAAAATTCAGAGTTTATGATTTCTGGCCCATGTCATTCATGAACTGGGATTTGAATTAGAATGACAGGAAGAAGAATTTAATTAATTTCACTTCAAAGCAATTCAGTGCAGATTCACAGCACAGGAATGCCATTTAACTTGGTAAAACATAAACAATTATACTGTATAATACATTTACTTTCTAGATGGTACACTACATGGACAAAAGTATTGATACACACATCTTGATCGATGAATCAGATGTTTCATTTAGACCCATTGCCACAGTTGTATAAAATCAAGCACCTAACCATGCAGTCAGGTTTACACACATTTGTGCAAGAATGGGTCATTCTGAAGGGCTCAGTGAATTCAAGCATGGTACTGTCATAGGATGCCATCTTTGCAATAAGTCAATTCATGAAATTTGTCCCCTGCTAGATATTTCATGGTTAATTGTAAATGGTATTATTGCAAAGTGGAAGCATTTAGGAACAACCGAATCTCAGCCACAAAGTGGCAAATCATGTAATGTAACAGAGTGTGGTCGTTGAGTGCTGAGGCACATAGTGCGTAAATGTCACCAATCCTCTGCTGACTCAGTAACTGTAGAGTTCCAAACTTCCTCTGGCATTAACCCCAGCACAAAAACTGTGTCCTGGGAGCTTCGTGGAATGAGCTTCCATGGCCGAGCCACTGCATGTAAGGCTGACATCACTAAGTACAATGCCAAGCGTCAGATGGAGTGGTGTAAAGTACTCTGCCACTGGACTCTGGAGCAATGGAAATATGTTCTGTGGAGTGACGAACCACGCTTCTCTGTTTGACAGTCTAATGGATGAGTCTGGGTTTGGCAGATGTGATATACAACAGAAGCAGGGCCACCAACCATGGAACAGGCTTATTTGTCCAGTTCATCTCATAGATTATTTAAACATTTTTTTTTTTAGATTCTTGAACAGTTTTCGCAATGTGACACAGTGCATTATTCTGCTGAAAGAGGCCACTGCCATCAGGGAATACTGTTGCCATGAAGGGGGGAACCTGGTATGCGGCAATGTTTAGGCAGGTGATACGTGTGAAAGCAACATCTACATGAATGCCAAGATTTCCCAGCATTTCTTCCCATACTGCATCCTAGTACAATCTTTTCCCCAGGTTAACAACGCACATTGCCGTCCACATCATGTAACAGAAAATGTGACTCACTAGACCACTCACTTCTTGCTCTTGCTCCATGGTCCAGTTCTGATTCTCACTGTCGGCAGTTGACAGGGGTCAGCATGGGTATTCTGACCAATCTGCACCTACCCAGCCCCATATGCAGCTACTGCAGAAATTATTAGCTCAGGTAATTTTTAATATCTCCACCAATATGTTTGAAATTAATTAAAGTTTAATTAATTATTATTTAATGCTGATTATTAACCAATCGTTATGCCGAATGGTCGGCTCCTCCAAACTCAATTGCGGTATCCCTGTGAGCCTGTTAATGTGAGACTTAAATGGGATTCACTAATTACCATTATCGCTTAGTAACCTCTGTTAGAAGGCTCGTATGGGCAAGCTGCATCACCAGGTAATGCAACCGATTGGTAGCGAAGCTCCCCTCACGGTCGATGAGAGTCTCGCGATGTTTCAGGCGAGTTTGAGG